TTCACGCGTGTGGAGCCCCATTGCAATCAATATGGACTCGTGGAAAATGAGGCGCGCGTTCCCGCTACACGATAGTGTGAAAGTCCCCATTCACACCATTGCATAGCAGGAACACGCTTTGTGGTCACATGTTCCTGCACGTTTGTTTCCCTTATTTGCCGCACATCCTCATTGATTTCAATGGGTGGAGCAGGCCCAACGAATGTGGGAAAATCGCATATGTAGCAAAATCTGCTGCAAGCGTCCCATGTTTTTTCCCCACGCGTGTGCACGTTTTGATGCGTGTTCAAGGAGGGGGAAAAGCGCATTTGTTTGACCGTGTTAGGGGTGCCATTAACACATAATGACACCGCAAGCCTGCTGTGCGTTTTTTACACATTCCTTGTACACGCGTCAAAGCGCGCGCATGGCATGCGTTGGGCCCATGTTCACCGAAGGTGTGAATGGGAACTGAGGGTTCATGCACGGCTGAACCCCAAAGGCTCGGGCTGATATTGGGATATTGCCACTGCCTGGGAGTCACAGGCTGATATTGGGGTACGTGGGCGGCTGATATTGGGGTATTGCCCTTTCCAGGGAGCCACAGGTGCTCCTGTAATAAAGACCGGTCACTGCTCCTCTCTCTCCTTGTGCAGGGCGACTAGTCTTGTCTCCGCCCCCTCCTGTAGTTTTCTGCAGGCAGCCTGTAGTGGGTGGGGCCTGTTGTATTTTTTCATGTGAAGTCCATGCATGATAAGTAATGTGTCAGTGTAACTCTTCCAAGTATTTATAACCTCAGTACTCCCCCTTGCCAATGCCTTCATCTGCTTTTCTCTCCAGAAGGACGGAGCCATCTTTGCTCAGGCCTCCTAGGAGGGACACGTGCTGCATGTAATTGCGTGCAGCCACCTGTACCTCCCTATGGGAGGACTCAGCTGCACGCGGTTGCAAGCACATGGTCTGCATCCAAATGGTCCCGTATGGGTGTGCATGTTCGGGTCTGTGTGTAACCACATGCATCCGTGCCCTTCCAGGCAGCTGCACACAATGACATGGAGCGCTTGTCCCTCCCGGGAGCAGGACTCCGCATAGGCATTGCATGCCCCATGGACGTGCACTCTCATGTGAATGAGCCCTTAGTATGAGTGGAAACATATAGACTAGAGCAGGGGAAGGCATCCTCAGCAATCCAGCATTTGCAGAACTACAAGCCCCATGAGGCATTGCAAGACTGACAGCCAATGGCGTGACTCCCAGAGGCTGAGGCATCATGGGATGTATAGTTTCACCACAGCTGGACTGTCGAGGTTGCCTACCCCTGGCCTAGAATCACGCAGGATTTTCACATATCTGTCTTCCATTGCTTCTGGAACATTGAAGGGAGATAACTCTGCAGGCCCAGGATGGAGTATCCCTTTAAGTAGCGTACCTTCTCTATAGGTAGAACTCGATGGACTTGTGTCTTTTTTCAACCTGACTAACTATGCAACTACTCCTGGTCCTATGATCCCGTGCCGTTCCTGTGTGATCATGCGGATGTGTAGAGCTTCTCTCAATGTGTTCCATTGTGTAGATAACAGAAATCACAGGTACTAAAGGATTTAATAAGATAATTCATAGAATGACATCCGAATAAATATATAATATACATCAAAACAAGTTTAAATACAACACGAAGTACATCAGCAAACTAGTAACAGTCGGTGCAGCTCAGACAAAGCTGGGAATTGGTTTTCATTGCTCTGAAAGTGTCGGGAAGTCCCGTTTACAGCTGAGATTATTTATATCTCTATATTCTTATCTCTCTATCTGCTGAACTGCAGTACAGAATCTAGGCCGGCGGCCCGGTACAGGACAACGATTACATTGGATCACCTCCTCGGACTCTAGAACAGAATATTAATATGTGAAAAGTGCAAATTTTGGGGCTCATTATATATGTGCACACCGGGACAATGCCCCTTCCGTACACGGTGGTGTGTTAGAGATAAAGGGTCACCTCCGATTTTCGGCACAACAAGGTGCGTAGGCGGCGTGTTAATGACACAAGGTGCGTAGGCGGCTCACTCATTTCAATGGGCATGTTGATGACGCGACGCACGTTAACATTCCGCAACAATGTGAATGGGCCCTAAAAATGTTTAAACAGTGCCAATTTGTGGAAAGGAGAGTTCCAGTGTTCTCTGATCGCTCACACTTGAATAGTGCTGGACTCGAGGTAAGCAGGTTCAAAATATGTGCAAACGTGCAAAGGTTTCCCTGCCAGAGAAGTGGTCGGCCAGTTTTGTGATTCACGCCTCCCAGCTGCTGCTGCTGGCATTTCCTGGTCATGTTTTGCGGCTTTGCTTGCCACATTTCACCTCCAGCCTACTTGATGTACAATAAAATCAGCCTCATCAGCTCTGTCCAGTGAGCAGGACACCCAGGGAGTGGCTGAGGGGGCTTGCTGGCTGTGCAGTGTGGCAGAGGTGTGTCGGGTCACAAGACTGGCTGAACCAAAAAACAAATCCTTTGGCAGGTACAATAGTGTATGTGAGTGTATATATCTTTATCCCATGGTTGTATTTCAGCTGTTCATTTAGACCAGGGGTAGCAAACCTCCGGCCCTCCAGCTGTGGTGGAACTACAAATCCCATAAGGCATTGCAAGATTCTCACAGCCAAAGGCATAAATCCCAGAGAGATGCATCATGGGATTTGTAGTTTCACCACAGCTGGAGGCGCCAGAGGTTTGCTACCCCAGATTTAGACATTTGCTAGTTGTTGTACTAGACCTGAAAGGCTCAATAGGTCACAGACAGCCGCTGATCAGCATCTGCCAGGCCAAACATTTCATATTTTCCAAAAGCTTATTCCAGAAGGTTTTAGTTTTACGTTGCCTGACAGTGACCCATTGTGTGTTACAGGGGTAGGTGACCTCAGCCCTCCAACTGTTGTGGACTAACAGCCACAGGCATGACTCCCAAAGGCAGAAGCATGATGGGATGTGTAGTGTAAGCACTGCGGGAGTGCTGAGGTTGCCTACCCCTGGTGTAGTAGAATAGGAGAGGTGACGGATACCCGTCAGGCTTACAGAAAAGTAATAGCAATTGGCTAAGAGAAGAAAATCAGTCTGTTGTTCGAGGTTCCAGGAAAGGATTGTCCACGGGTATAGTGATTACCCCGTGCCTGATCCGGATACAATGAAGCAGACTGGGAGATGACCACCTCTCCTCTTCAGCAAGGAAGGAAGGAAGGATAAAGATGACAGCCCCGGAACCTGCGGTTTCAAAACAAAGTCACCAAAGGGAAGGCAGTTCCCATATTTCCAACCTGACAGGTTCCTTACATGGTCCCCAGATAAGGGATAAGGATCCAGAAGTATGGAGTAGAGACAGCCATACAGAGATGCATTTTGATTGGCCAGCTCAATTCTACCATTCATATCAAAATCTATATACGATGTGCGCCGGTCAAAGGATCGGTTCTTATTACACACTTGCAGTAGTGGAACCAGACAATTGAAATCTTTCTGTGCATGACCAGCTCTGGGGATTGGCTATACTAAAAGATGATTTCTGATTGGCAGATGGGGACTGTATTTTTTCTGCAATGTGAAATTTGATTGGCTGTGGTGCTTTGCACAGCCCACAGCAAGCGCCGTCCCCTGGTCATTATAAAAGACACTGAACAGCACCGGATTCGCAGTATCTATGCCGTGGTGGTTCCTGTATAACAGTGCGTGATTATGTTCTATTAAAAATGAATTTGTGGATGAAAAGCAGGAATGAGGAATAGCTCATCAGTCAATGTGCTGTGGAGTGAACAGTTCTCAGTCATAATGACAGGTCCTCGTGATTCTCAGCGGCAGTGTGCGTATACAGATTGTCCAGCGTCAGGCTGTTCATTGTGAAGCTGGGAGCATCCTTCGAGGATAAAAAGGGATGAGGTCTCTGAGAGCAGGGGCCGGCTTCTCCTCCTCCAGCTGCAGCTTATTGTTGGGTTCTAGCAGCTGCTGCATGTAACCCGATGTACCCAGGAGGACGTGACCCGTAGCCTGCATAGTGAAGAGGGTCCAACGTAGCGCCTCCCTGTGTGGGGGAAATATAAAATATTATTAGAAAAATGTGGCATTTTAACACTCTTTGCAAGCAGATGATGATATATTTTCTCCGGTGGAGAAGGGATAGGAACCTCCGTCAGGTTTTTATTGTGGTCTGGATACTCATTGGGAAGATTTCCTCTCACTTCCTCCACAGAAAGGGAAATATGGGAACACTTCCCTCCAGTGTGAACACAGATCGCTCTGCAAGGTTATTAGTAGCAAAATATCAGGCCCCAGCATGAGAGAACACATACCGAGGTCTGATATTTTGTTATACTCATCTAATGTCCCACCTCAACCTAACCAGTGAACCATCACGTTCTCAAACAGTTCATCCCCACACAGCTCCCTCTATATGTATTACTGGCCCCTCCCTTTTAGATTGTAAGTCCTCACGGGCAGGGCCCTCCTTACCATCTTGTCTTGAATTGTAATGTCTTCCTTATATTGTAAAGCGCTGCGCAAACTGTTGGCTCTATATACATCCTGTATAATAATAATGTCCAGTGCCGTCCCGCAAACCCAAAGCATCGTGTCTCCTGACCCAGCTCACTGGAGCTATGCCAACCCCCCTCCACTGCCAATCTTCATATACCCTCTCCACACTCCAGCAATGTCCTTGACTCAGTTCAGCACTGGGTGTCATTCTGGTCATTTCCTGTAAGCCCAGCCTGCCATATACATGCATTCCCTAGGGGGCACATCAATACCCAGGCTGGGCTAACAGCTCCTTACATGAGCGCCACTCAATCCTGGAAGAACGCCTCATATCTGCAGTGAGGGAGTGGGAGCCATGATGCCCTGGGCTCGCAAGACGTGAGCTGAATGTCAACGGGTGTCCTTCAACCCAGAAGATGAGCAAGGCTGGATCAATGAGCAGGCAAGTCCATGGGGGACAGCACTGGAGATCAGGTGACTATAGCAGCCAGACCTGCTTTTTGCCCAAGCCAGATTTCAGCTTTAAATCCTATTTTCCATAGGCCCCGTACACATTTATCTGTACACGTTATACTGCGTGTATACTCACTTCACCACGCGCTTGGCACTGTAGCACTGCAGGTTATAGGACACGCTGTACGTTCCATAGAATGTGGCCTTGACATTGATGCATCCTATGAAGTCTTGCGGGTGATTCTTGTAGAGGTCGAAGCTGAACTGAGCCACGTCGATCTTCTTCTGAGGCTTACTGGACAAGGTAATATGGTAGCCGGCTTTCTGCTGGGTAAGAAGGGAAGGATTAGATTGGCTCTCACTGCTGGAAATAGTCTTAATGGCGAATAAAACACTTCATAGCTTAGTGAATGGAGCTTATTGTCCAAGCAGGCAACATGTAACAAAAATGATACTAACTATAGGAACACTATACAGCTTATTGCATATTAGGACTGACCAAGGAGTAGGAGGAGAAGAGAAAAAAAGTCTGCTTTGCCCATAGTAATAAAGTTAAAGTAGAGCTCCAGGATATCTTTTCTGTTAAATGTTCTTCTTTGTCAGAGTTACTTTTTTTTAAAAGAGCCGTATAAACAGAACAAAGAAAAATGACTGACGGACCAATGGAAATCAAAAGACTTGATTAAAGGATTATGAACTGGGGGCATTTCCTGCCATTCTGACGAGAGCGATTTTGGCCAGAAGGGTTTCATTACAGCTGATGAGAGAAATAGCAAGCACAGATAGATGCCCAAGTACAGAAAAGCGCAGATCTACGCTGGTTGGTCACCGAGTGGTTAATAAGACCATGACCCTTACCAGACCATTCATTTCAACAAAAATATCTTCCCATAAGTTTTTATGTGCAGAACACATTTTACGCATGTTATTTACCTGTGAAATCCTCCCCGGTGTAGACATCCAAAGATCCCGAGACTGCTGCAGGGAACCGCCATCTTGGATGTGATGTCAGCAGCCCCAGCAGACTCAGAGCTGTCCCAAGTGACACTCTATATATAGTATTCCCCTTTGCCCCCCACCAAAGCAGCATATAAAAAGGTGGCCATACACTTTACAACCCTCGCAAGACTTTTGTCTTGCGAGGGTTGTAAAGTACTTAAAAAAACGTACGATCTGCCCATCTTGGACAGGCAGATCGTACTTGCGAAAGCCCGCCCCTCATTGCGATCACTGCAATGAGGGGCGGGCTTTCCAGCCTGCTTGTTCGACGGAAGACGTGCGACCGTACAGTAGAAAGGCATCATGGCACACTCCCAAAACCAGCATGTAAAACAACTTGTCTCACCACTAAGGACAATGACAGAGGTTTGGATACACGTCTTCAGCCGAGGATGTGTAAGCCGCACTGCCGCGCCAAGGCACCTCTTATAGTGCGGTCCTAACTCTAAGCTATGAGAGTCTCCATCTTGGAGCACATGGGGGCAGAAGATATCAAATCGGGTGCAGGTTTGTCAGGATGCCTTTCTACTGTTTTACTGTTCAAAGCCCATTTCGTGTGCACCTTACTGTACAACTGGTAACAAATTGTTGAGTGCGTTTGTCGTTTGTTTTGTCGTACCGTAGAAACAGTCGCACGCCTTCCATACACTGCATGATTATCGTACGATTGCGGGATTTCCCGCGATTCTCATACGAGAATCGTGCAGTGTAGTGGCACCTTAAGGTTATGCAGGGAGGTAAGGGTAGGGGGCGGAGGAGCTGGGCCAGTACAGAGAGTAATTAGACATTGTCAGAAGAAGAGGAGAGCGCTATGATGTGCGAGGAAGGAGGGGACTAGGCTAGGGAACTGACTCTTTCTGGAGAATCAAATTTGCTAGCAAGATTAAATGCACATTGCAATCGAATAAAGAATTAAAAAAAATAATGATGGAAAGGAGCAATGCTGCAATAATATAAAACACTGGATTATTTTGGACGTTTACCTAGATTATAAATTGGAATGTAACCTGTGTGGGCACTTTTATCATAAGTACAATCATGAAAACTGGAGGAGACAGAATCTGGAGCCGTCGCCCATGGCAACCAATCAGCTTCTCTGTCTCATTTTCAAATCTTAACTGAACAAACTTGAGAGAAGCTGATTGGTTGCCATGGGCGACTGCTCCAGATTCTGCCTCCTCTAGTTTTGATAAATTCCCAGCTGTTTTTATGGTATATCATATATGGCACTCTGCCGCTGTATGTACACAGGACACACAACCCCTATGCGCTCACCTGGGATGGTTTCCATGTCTGTCCCTTTTCCAGTGCCATAAAGACAGCTCCACTGTCCAAGGACTGGAAGAAGTCCTCGGTGTCCACTTCAGTCCCATCTTCTTCCAGGACCAGCGTGATAGCATAACTCGTGAGCAGGGCATCCTGGGTCTGTGGGCATTGAGAATAGATACAGATGATGGAGGATGATCACAAATATTACAGAATTTCAAACGGCTCTACACACCTTGGAAGTCAATTACAACATAAATATGTATGAATACACAATCATTTCCACCTATATAATAGCCTTCTATATTGTTGTCCGGTGTTCTATCAAAGTTGGTGACTGCGTTAGAATGTGTGACCGGTGACGTGGACACACATTTTAACCTAATCACGCCCACTTTTCCGGCGGTGGAATGTGTGACCGGCAAAAGGTGAAGAATTACGGCTGTTCCAGGGCAGATCAGCATCGCAGATCATATGTGCAGGAGAACCGATCTGCCCTGGAACAGCTGATCGGTCCCGAAATGTCACTTCTATCCGACTTTGTGAGTGCGATCTCACATTCCACAAAGTCGGATAGAAGTGACATTTCAAGACCGATCAGCTGTTCCAGGGCAGATCGGTTCTCCTGCACATATGATCTGCGATGCCGATCTGCCCTGGAACAGCTGAGAAAGTGTCGCAATTCTCTACTTCTCTTTTTGCCGGTCACATATTCCACCGCCGAAAAAGTGGGTGTGATTATGTTAAAATGTGTGACCACTTGACCGGTCACACATTCCAACCCAGTCACAATCTTTGATAGAACACCGGTTTCTGCTACAGACTGATCTACAATACATTTCCCAACAGGTTTTTGGTCATGTTTATATCGTCTGGTTGAAGATGGAGTGGGAAAGTATCAGAACGCTACCCTGGGCTACATTAGAGAAAATTGCCCCTCACTTATTGTCTTGGTCACAACAAGCTAGGAGGAAAAATCTACAATATGAACATAGAGAGCAATAAGAAGCCGACAGGGGTTCTGGCTTTCTCCGACTCCACTAAAGAGAAAACATTTGTTTACATCCGTCTCTATTGCTGTTGGAGCTTTTCCCTTACTTCCTTTCTGCTAGAACTAATGATACCAAGACAGGAAGTGAGGGGAGATTTTTCCAATGGAGCCTTGGATAGCTGTGAAAAAAACAAATACGAGTTCTAATCATAACCCATTCTATCAAAATGTTACAAAATAGTTCTGACAGGACAGAACACGTTATTAACCTTTTGAAATCTGTGTATTTAAAGTGGACCAATTCTCAAATGATGTGATCTTCTTATTTAGAGCGAAAAGCGCTTTTTGTTAACACTAGGGATGCACAGATACTATTCGAGTACCAGTGCCGATATTTGGCACTTTCATGAGAACTACCAGGGTTGCGGCGGTTGCAGCTGGGACCTGGCTCTGGCGCCTCACCACTGTCCTGAAATCATTAGTCTGTATTGTTTTAGAAAAACTGTCACATGACAATAAACACAAATGTATCAGTACTCGTATCTGTGAGTACTTGGAGAAGTATCAGTACTCGTACTCGCAAAACTGGTATCGGTGCATCTTTATTTATATTAATAAAAACCAAAATCATACATTAAAGGCCCTATTCACACTAAGCGACATACCTTACAAGCGGATCCGCACGGCCGGGATAGCGCGACTGTTCGGGGCGACGTTCCAGCGGCGATAGCGTGACCTTCACTGTCGGGCTGCATTCAAAAATAGAAAAATTGCGCGACATCCGCGGGAAAAAGGGTCCTGTTGAAGTGACAGCCAACATGGAGCTGTATATTAGAACAGCTCCATTGAATAACATCGGCCGGCGACTTCTCGCGATATCGCGTGGCAAAAATGCGCTATATCACGGTGGAAATAACGCGGCAATCCGCTCAGTGTGAATGGGGCCTAAAAGCAGAGATGTACAAATCCCGGGAGCTCCGTGTGCTTCTTACACATGACAGCTGCCTCCTAACTTTTGAATTATTCTCTTGTCTACTCTTGGAGCTGGAAAAGTATCGGTACTTGTACTGAGTACGGTACTTGGTATCGGCGCATCCCTACATAAAACCAATATTCTACCCATTTCCTCACCTTGTTCAGGAGATCTCCCAGACTATCCGCTACAATGCCCTTGCGGATGCTGCGGTCCCAGTTACAGACTCTGAAGGGCCGAGGCTTGGATGCCGGGCGAGAGAGGAACTGTTGAGTCATAGTAGCACTGACAGAGACGCATCTAAAAAAGAATCATGACAATAAAGTTACATCATGGAAATACAGAAAAATCTTTATGTGCATCAATGACCCAAAAAGCTAATGAGGGGAATTGATCAAAACCGGAGCAGACAAAATCTGGGAGCAGCTGTGCACGGCAACCAATCAGCATCCAACTTTTATTTTCAAACCTTAACTGAACAAACTGAAGAGAGAAGCTGATTGGTTGCCATGGCAACTGCTCCAGAATTGATAAATTCCCCCCCAAAGTGTTATCTGGGAAGAATATTTTGTCTGGTACCTCCCAACAAACCCACCAGATCCAAGTATTCTGTTGGACCCGAGATTAGCTTCCATCACTTGTTACTCGAGAGTCTAGCACGGCACATATAAGAAGATATAGAATATCATCAGATATATTGTTTCGGTCTAAAAGGACTTCGTCATCATAATTCAGTTGCCTATCATCAATGTGCGTCTGTGACAGTTCAAGCTTTCTGGGAATATTTCATAACTTTGTCTGTCCTTTGTCCTCATTGCACACGGATTTTGACTTTTGGTCAGGGTAGGAAGGAATCTCAGACATTGCCAGTGAATTTCCAAACATCGAGCTGTCTGACCAGCAAAGTAAACCAAAGGGAAGAGACATACAGCCTCACCCATGGCATGTACCATGATCTGTGAACGAGCCCCTCACAATTTATAGCATACCAGTATATCCAAGAACAAAAGATTTCCATCTGGTGATCCTACCAGTAAGAACACCTCCTGTTCTATGGCAAGGAGGAGCAGCATGGTCACCTCAAGAACACTTACAGGGTTTTCTGTAGCCCACAACTAGGGTGACAGCGCTGCTCCTCCACACCATAGGACAGTAAGTGTGTTACCATCATCATTTCCATATGAGAAGGGGGGTGTTCTGTAGTCCACAAATGTGAACTGGGCTCAAAACACTGTTCGAGATTTTAGTGCAGAAGAAGAAGAAACAAACTGTTTTAGAAGCAGAAATCACAAAAAGTTAGAGAGCTCATTGGCAGGATCAACAGGTTTTTTTTTTGCATGTATCTAACAGATATAATAAAATGTTTTCAACAGTATACTTAGCAGGTGAAAAGGAAGAGAAAAAAAAAGAAGAAGGGGAGGTAGTGCATTGTTAGGGTTTATATAGCAAAAATATCTTCCTCAGCACTGTGAGGAGTGAGGACATAGAAAGATAATAATAATAATTTAACATACACGAATATAGGAAACACAAAATGAGAACCATCTGAAAAACAGCTTACATTCTAAAACAAGAAGCGTGAAGTCAAATGTGCGTATTTGACTTGTGTATCAAGGAATATACTGCTTCGAAAAGATGAGCATTGAAGGAATGATTACAGAAGGTTTAGTGAATTCTTTGCACATAAGGAAGAGAGTTCCAGAGAAAGGGAGAAGCATGAGAGAAAACAAGAGGAAGACGTATCATTGTGGCAAGGTGAGCGATTGATTTTTACATCCCGGTTATATGCCTCCTTGGACAGATGGGTATTAAGGGAGTGATTTAAGAGGGAAGGTCGGTGAATACCTGTCAGCATGTGTTAGGGAGTTCCAGAGAAAGGGAGCAGCATGGGAGAAGACCAGAAAGTAAAAAGGTTTCTATTGTTTTTACCTAGATGGTAATGTAAGACTCAGGGCCATACATCTAGTTATCCTCCAGGTAAACCTGCAGGCCTATGCAGTAAAAACAGTAATAATAAAGTGCAGTTACCCATGGCAACTGAAAACTGATAACGGAAACCTGTATTCTGATTGGTAGCTATAGATCACTGAGCCATGCACAATGCTCTTTGCCTTACTGAATAACCCAAAACTTATAATTAAACTTGACTTGTCAACACACAACAGAAAATGTCATATTCTTACTTGGAAAGCGATCTGGGGGAGAGGAGACTCAGAGACTTCATGGCGTATTCCATATTTGTCAGAACGATTGTCTCCACTCTGAAAGAGAAAATGGAATTCAATATAAATATCTGATCATGTACAGTTACAAAAAACACAAGAGTACCGTACCATGTAAGGCTAGCCATAGACTACAAGGGAACGGTCAGGGTTTTGGGGTCATTTTAATTTCATTTCTTAACTGTAAAATGTTTAAAGGCCAGTTGAAGTCTCACATCTTTATAGGTCTTTACATTTGTTGCTTCATTCACTCCTACTGGTTACAAATGAGCCGTTTCCAAAAAGATATTGCTAAAAATGGTAACTGCAGGCGGCTCCGATTCATACCTTAGGATACCTCAGGTTGGACCTTTCCCCAATCGATCAGATCCTCTGGAATAAAACCAACGTATGGATTGTCCCCCCTTTACTCAAATCCATTGACGGCCTTATAATAAAAGCCTTGATTTCTAAACGCTGCCCAAAAAGAAGACGGGTGAATAATGGGTGAATTCTGTCTATACTTACTCATTGGCCATTGTATCAGATAATAGAAAATCACAGTCTGGGATGTTCACAGGAAGCTTGTGTATTGTAAATAGCAGGAATATCAGGTTTTATATCCTTTCTTATGACCTTTGTACCATCGAATCATTGGTTACATCACAGAGTGTGCAAAGTCCCTTCCACCGAGTCACTTCAACTCCACCCAAAGCAGATGTAGAGAGTACAACGTCTGCTCTGGTGAGGGTTCACAGGGGAGCTATGACTGTTTATTAGTCACCTGACAGGCTGCAACGTCATGCGATAGCTTTAAAGAGATCACATGATGTAATGTTACAGAAGGACTCCGGTCCAAAAGGTTAACTTTGTTGGGTAAAGAACAAGGACATGTATTTGGGGTCTGCCTCTTCTGCCCACTGCTACCACAGAAGAATATACAAAGTTGTGTATTTTAGTAGCATGTCTTTTCTTTATTAAACTCAAGCAACAATGGAGGTGACCAGTTGTCTGAGGGCATCAAAAATCACACTTGTAAAGACCTGCAATACTATTAGGAAACATGTTCTATTGTTAATTTATGGAGTGAGAGGCACCGGCTGGCAGGATTGTGGACGGCGTATACGTGTCACCTAGGTATCATACACAAACATAGCCATGTATCGGTGTTCGCTGAGGACACTAAAATTGGGAGGGTAACAGACATTATAACTAGGGATGCACAGATACTTTTCGAGTACCAGTGCCGATACTTGGCATTTTCATGAGAACTACCAGGGCTGCAGCGGTTGCAGCTGGGACCGGGCTCTGGCGCTCCACCACTGTCCTGAAATCATTAGTCTGTATTGTTTTAGAAAAACTGTCACATGACAATAAACAAAAATGTATCAGTACTCGTACTTGAAAGTACTCGGCAAGTACCAGTACTCGTAAAACTGGTACAGTTTCATTGTCACAGGTCGGCTCGAACTATGAGGTTGAATGAAAATCACTCACCTCAGTTCTTCTTTAAAAAAATATTTAAAAACTGCTGCTTGCATTTTTAAATGCTGTTTACGTTCTCAGAAATGCTTCCTAGCCCCCCCCCCCTGGTAATGTTAAGGAGAGGGCTGTGGGAAGTAACTGTATGTTAATATACTTACCCCGGTCTGTACTGTGCTCAGCTGGCAGATCTCATTGTCAGTTGTAAACTAGATTTGAACACTTCAATCCTAACAAAGGGTTAAAGACTTAGAACCATTGTAGGTTAATGAAGTAAACAATCAACTTGTCTAATTGTCTCCCTTTTGCTCTGTAAAATATACAATTGAAAGCATTTTGTTAGATTGATGTAACTGAATCAGGACCGCCGTATGTAAATAAATCCTGAAGCAGTTATAACAAGGTCCCAGCTGCTGCGGTAGTGATTTCAAAGGCTGATTGGTTGTACGGTGCCAGGATGTGAGCGCCCCTCCACTGCCTATCCCGGGCTCTGCTGTCCCCCGTGTGTGCCCAGGAACAGCACGGCGAGTCCGTTCACTTAGATCAGAAGCAGATCAGCGGCTGATCTCCCCTCCAATCACTGAACCTGGAAGCGACTTGTATTACCCGGAAGGGACGTGTATTATACGCGGTGCTTCCGGGTTTAGTGATTGGAGGGGAGATCAGCTGCTGGAAGTGCGCTTGCTGATCTGCCTCTGATCTAAGTGAGCGGACTTGCTGTACCCTTCCCAGCAGAGACCATTATAGGCAGTGGAGGTGGGGGGCTCACACTCCCTGGGACTGTACAAGCGATCGGGTGGCTTTATAGCCGACGGTTTGCTTGTATGTAAACGGCCATCACCGGCTGTTAAAAAACCGGTAGCACACCAGCCGTGGATCTTGGCAGATTTCTGCTTCATCAGCTTCTTTGGGGTCCCTAGGTGACATTCGGGGTCTCCATAAGGTCACAGCCGTTTTGCTATTACATAGGGGGCTTGTATAAAGTGTATAAAATAAAATTAAAGTTTAAAAAACGTGCAAAAATTTAAGATATTACCCCAGACAGCAAGTGCAAAAAAGTACTTGCTGATCCTGCCAGAAATCCAAGCGAGCTTGTACGTTCCTGCCCACTATGCGGTGTTACCTCAAGCCATGTTATCAGTCCTGCCCATTTCATCTTTGTGAACTGCAGAACACACCCTTGTTTTGCAAATGAGGAGAGGGGAGATTCTGTAGTCCAAACACTTCCCATCCAAAGCCGTGTATACATGCTTTTATTTTCTTCGTTCAACCTGGTGACTGAATGAAAAAAAAATGGAAAAGATTTCTCCATCAAAGCTTACGAGCGTTGGAGGAATCTCCTGCTGTTTCTTTTGTATCCCGACAGTGGCCGCCGGCTTATTGGCTGCTAGCTCTGTTCAGCTGACAATTTTCTGACATGCTCCTTTGATCAGCTGATCCAGAGATGCCATTTAGAAACATTGATCAAGAACCACACAAAATCTGAAGTGTGTATACCCGGCTTTAGGGTAACAATGTAGTTCCTTCATAGATTTGGTACAGTGCAATGAGTAAGTGTTGTCATCCTAAAGGTGCCCATACACCTGCCGATTATCGTATGATAATCACGGGTGATCCTGCGATCGTACGATAACCGGCAGGTGTATGGAAGGCGTGCCAACGTTTATACTGTACGGTCGCACGTCTTTTGTCTTACAAGCATGTTGGAAAACCTGCCGAAAATCGTACGATTGTCGGCGGGTTAGTGGCGTGCTCGGAAGACAAATGCCGAACGGGCCGGTGTGCGCAAGCGCACACTGCCCGCTCAGCATTGAAATCATGGGAAACCCTCCCCTCAGCGGGGCGGGCTTGGGATGATCGCAAGTACGATCTGCCTGTCCAAGATGGGCAGAGCGTACAAGATTTTATTTACCTTACAACCATCGCACAACGAAAGTCGTGCGATGGTTGTAAGGTGTATGGGCAGCTTAAGACAGGAAGTGCGATATTGGCAGGATCATCAGGTGACTAAAGGAAAAGAAAACCTGAACAAGGAAACTAATGCACCCAAATGTTCTGCCGGGCTGCAATATATCATAGTAATAAATTGCCCCGGTTAGATACACGTCATGAAAGACATGAAAGGGGGTCCAGGCAGAAAATCTTCTCAGCGATGCAGTTTTAAATTGAAGTTCGAATACATTTCTTTAAATTCGGACATTCGGATGCATCTGATTTCCAACTAATCCACATTTTTTGACCAGTACCGGTAAAGGGGGAAACAGAACAGACTAAAAAGGGGGAAACAGAACAGACTAAAAAGGGGGAAACAGAACAGACTAAAAAGGGGGAAACAGAACAGACTAAAAAGGGGGAAACAGAACAGACTAAAAAGGGGGAAACAGAACAGACTAAAAAGGGGGAAACAGAACAGACTAAAAAGGGGGAAACAGAACAGACTAAGGCTGGGTTCACACCTAGGCGTATCGAATATGCGCGTTTGTCGCGCGAGGGCTACCTGGCTGTATCCCAATGGATACGCGTGGCAAATACGCCCCAAAGAAGCTCCTGTACTTCTTTGGGCGTAGGGCGTTTTGTAGCGCGTTCATACGGCCTGTAATACGCCCAGGTGTGAACCATACCCATAGGAAATAATGGGATTTCGGTGTTTGAGCGTTTTGCAGAGCGTAGGAACGCGCTACAAAACGCCCAGGTGTGAACCGCGCCTAAAGGGCAACAGAAGAGAGCCACATTTACAAACGAGTAATTGTTAATTAAAAAGGACCCCATCTTAATTGATCTGAACCGAAAAACAAAAATAAAAATTGATCCAAATTCTGAATAAAGAACTAAAATCGAATTTTGGATCTGAAATCCGCCCGCCCCCGAAAAAAATAAATACATTTTTGAATCGATCCAAAACTAAACAGTTTTTTTTAGCCTGCACATGTCTCCTGCAGAGAGCTCTGTGACCTGGAAGGTCGGCTGTAAAGTATAAATAACACTCACCTTCCAACCTTCCTCCACCTGTTGAAGACCCCAAACCGTCTGAGTCACTTCACGATCCCACCACCAGCCTGCGATATGAGATCTGTCCAATGAAATGAATGAACATGTTGGAAGGTTTCTATCATCCTATTCATCTAGAACTCTTTGTGTGGAAGGAGGACAATCCACAGACAACATTCCTAATCCTTTTATGACGGAGCGGCCGGCCTCTGCTCAGCCTGGATTGATGGAGAGCGCGGATTGGTTGTCCTCCGCTTTGCAAACAAGGCAAACACAGTGTCAGACAACACCGCTACTGTATAGGGAGGAGACAATTACATGCACGTTATAGCTGCAAGGAAGCATCCTATGCACGGCTCAAATTCTGTCAAGTCAGCAAATTCGAGCTGTCGGCCTTCCTTTAACATAAATCCATTTCTCCATCAACTTTTGTTGAAGGAGCCGGTTCTAAAAATTTTCACCGAGCAGTGACTGCGGCCAATCAGCTCCAAGCAGTCAATGTTTGTGTATTCTGACAACGGTGGGTGCAGGCGGGGGGGGGGCCAGGCAGGCAAATCAAGCTTTTTTTTAAATCTTGTTCACCTTCCCCCTGTAGTTGCCCATAGGGGCCTGTTGGGCTCCTCCCACAGCTCTGCTCAGGCTATGAACAGCACAATGATGATGTCACTATTACATTTACAAAGTGATATCTGGGTTGGCAAAGGCACTTGTGGATTTATTTCCCATTTGGCAACCGCTCCAGATTCTCTCTGCTCTAGTTTTGATAAATCCCCCCCCCCCTTAGTGTTTAAGCCAACATTAAGTCCCCATTCACACCTATGTGATTTGTCACACGTCAGCAATAGCACAACAAGAACAGACCTATTATCTCCTATGGGGCTCATTCACACCTAAGCGTTGCATTGCTGTGCACCTTGAAAAAAAAAAGGCGCAGGGGTTTCTTTTGGCCGCTATACAGTAGGGGAATTTATCAAAACTGGAGCAGTTAGAATCTGGAGCAGTTGCCCAGGGCAACCAATCAGCATCTCTCTGCAGTCTGCTCAGTTGGGATTTGAAAATGAGAGAGAGAAGCTGATTGGTTGCCATGCAGATCTACTCCAGCTTTGATAAATCCCCCCCAGTGCGTTTTTGACCTCACAGAGTTGAACGGTTCACATGAAAAACGCACGTCTAGTGTTTTAGGAATGTTTGCGTGCACAGCAAACGGTCCCCCTAGCAACATAGTACTGCAACCTAGGCAACAGCAGATATTGCTCGTCATTGGCCAAAAAAAAAAACCAACCCCATGCAGCATGAAAACACAAAAAATTTGCATTACATCGCATCAACGTGCATAAGAACTTGCAACCCGCGGGCTGAGCGAAGAATACAGAACAGATTCCTCCACCGACGCTTTACGAGTGTCGATCGAGGAATCTCCCGCTGCATGTTGATGGCGACCGCTGTCAGAATACCTGAACAGATAAGCCGCCGACTCTGTTCATTCAAAGATTTTCCAATCAGATGATTGAGGGATGCCGCCGGGCCAAAGGGCGCTGACAGCGGCACCCACTGTGCGAAATTACAGATGGTTCCTGAAAAAACAGACCAAAATTTGCATAATGTATGGCCGGCTGGGTCCTTATGTCTCCCCCTAGGCATGTACAAGCAGTTAACCCTCGCAGTGCATGGGGCAGTTTGGAGATGGGCTTAAAAGGTACCATCACCACCAGCTACAACACATCAGGAGATACCCGTCATGCACTTTACTAATGTATATAATAATATGATACAATGACAGAGATACTCACAGAGGATGGGATGAGACCTGCGGGCGGCAGTGCGTCCTCCTCCAGACTGCTGTCAGCAGTGATCTAGTACCTGGCTTGCCACATACACAGCCTGTTGGTCAGTCTTTTGTCTATGATGGGTCACATTCCCTCCCCTTCACCCAAACTGCTACCACTGAGCTCATGTCATGACAATACCGTGCCCCAGCCCCCAGGAGTGTGGCAATAAACAGGAGGAGAGGTCACCACTCATTAGTCCATCCCTGTAATACAGTCCAAGTTTTATTGCCTTCTGAATAATAAAATAAAAACATATTTAAAAAATAATATATACACACACATACACTCCATGACATACGTATGTAACATGTTACCACAACATACCACAGAGGTGTATACTTACCCCCCTTGTGTTTTTACTTGAGGGTGGAATGCATAAGAACTAGGGCAGGCAGAATCTGGAGCAGTTGCTCATGGCAACCAATCAGCTTCTCCAGTTTGTTCTTGCTTTGAAAATGAAAGAGAGAAGCTGATTGGTTGTCCTGCACAGCTGCTCCAGATTCTCTCTGCCCCAGTTTTTATGAACTACCCCCAAAGTGTCTCCCATTGGAATTTATTTGAAATGCATCTCAACTTACGCATTAGGCCGTGCGTTGCATGACGCGCATCATTACATGTGCGGATGTGCGTTAAGACACACATTAACATTCAATACAAAGTGCATTGCAATGCGCAACAATGCACATCAAAGTGCGTCAATAGGAAAAAAAAATCAAATAGCTGTGAATCCAGCCTAAAATCTTCTAGCAGTGACACTTGTTTTAGGTTAAGAGCAGACTTTCCCCTCAACCAGAAAAGATTTCCTCTCACTTCCTGTTGGTTGCTGGGACAGGAAGTCATATTAATTCTCTCTGATGGAACCCAGAATAAACACTGACAGGGGGTTTACATACTACTTACTCTGGCTTTAGCTTACCCTGTGTTATCAGGAAAATGTCTTGCTGCAACAAACCACTCATGCAATTTAGAGGGTGAAAAAAAACATCACACAGGACGCTGATAGGTTGCTATGGGCAACAAAATATTTGCCACTTTCCTCACAGAAGGCCCAAAATGCAGAAATGCATCCGTCTGAGGCACCACGAGTCTCAGCATGTCCTAAGGGGGCACTACAGACAAAGTGAAACTCCAATAGCAAGCCACCAGCTTCTTCCCCCTCCTTCTTCGCTACCAGCTCAGCTGCTGACGGTCACTTCCGGGAGGAGCAAGATGGCGCCGCCCAGAGACCGGAATTGGTCACGGCGCGGTGCTGAGTGAGCCATTATTCGGCTGCGAAGTGTGAGGTGAGTCGGTGGCCGGTTTAATCACCGCACGGCGGATGTTTGGACTTCCAGAGGCGGGATAGAGGGTGATAGTGGCGGTGTGACAGGCAGGGGGCAGCAGAGGCTTCATGATGTATGCTTTCTATAAGGGGAACTGGGTGCAAGGCAGATGACGGTGTGCATGGGGCACAGGGGCAGATCAGGGAGTGTATGGGGCCCCGGGGATGATCACAGTGTGTATGAGGGGTTGGAGAAGCTGGACAGAGCAATGTAAAGAGCACCTGTCACCACCAGCTACCCTACATAAAATAAAAAGTCCACTTCACACTATTGTATTACATGTGTTGGTGCCATGCAGTGTCATTTTATTCTGGATGGCATTTCAAAGTACCTTGCCAACAGATGTGCATTGCAGTGCAATGATGCGCTAACGAGCGTTGCTGAAAATGCTGTATGCATGATTTTTGGTCCCTGGAGGTGCATTCAGATGAATGGGCCGTCCTAATGCAAAGCATGGCACGGTACACACGCATTTACATGTTGCAGCAGAGCAGACTGGTGCACAGTAACTTATGTTACCATGCAAGTTACTGCAATGCGTGGCATCTGTTGGCCATTCTATATGGCACCTTGCTGGCATATGTGCTGTGCGCTGCAAAAAATGGTGTGTTGTTTTTTTGTATGTTGGGTAGCATATTCAAATGAATGGGGGTGCCCTAATGTAATGCATGGTAACGCAGTGCGCAGTGGACCAGACTGGTGTGAATGGGCCCCAAAGGCAAGCAGGGAATCTCTGTTAGGGTTCTGTAGTAGAAACCAGATAACTGATCAGCAGAGATATGCAAAGTCGAAGCCCCGACTGGATAAAGAGCCTTCTGGGCCACCCCCTTCCCCGACCCCTATGTCATCAGAGTGCTTTAACAATGAATTAAAAGCCAATGCATATAAACGGCGTGTAACTATGCAGCAGACAGGGTCACTTTAAGGTACCATTGCTCAATTTTCATTCTGCAAATGATGTTTGCCTGGCCAGCATGTTGACCCCCGTCTTCAATACATGTGGGTCCAGGTATAAAACTGCTGTATGGCCTCATCTCAGACAAAAAACAGCACATTCACAAAGCACCGCAATGTGCGTTATCATTGCGCATTGCTGTCACTTTTGTTTTAGGCCTCATTCACACGAGAAAAGGCTGCCGCGTACAGCTCCGTGCTGCGTGTGTGGACGTATCGGGCAGCTCCCGGGAAGGACAGGTGCTGCGTGTGATTGGTACGCAGCCCCTGTCCTTCTCTATGGGAGTATGCGGCCATACGCTCACCTCAAGTGCAGGTGCGGGTGTCCTGGTTCGGACGCAGACAGGATCCATCCTATCAGCGTAAGGACACCCGTACGGACGTGTAGGGCGGGTGAGCATAGGGCGGCATACATATGGCCGCGTACTCCCATAGAGAAGGACGGGGGCTTCATACTAATCACACGCAGCACCTGACCTTCCCGGGAGCTGCCGATACGGCTGGCCTTTTCTCGTGTGAATGAGGCATTAGGCTCCACGCCCCTAAGGCCTGTCATCGTGGTGCACTGGCACTTTAGATTTATTTATTGCAATCTATGCACGAATTGCCACTTTTTGATTTGAAATTTTGACCCACTGATGACTGAGGGTGCAGGTTCCTTCGGGGCCTTTTCCCGATGTTGGGGAAGACATTCTGTGCCCTCATATAGGGTTCTCTGTCTCCTCCCACCCAGGGGGGTCTCTCTTCGGGAGAGCCCCCTACCTAGTACTGTGTGGGACCTGTTCCGGCAGGTCCCCAAAGGATCGGGGTCCGCCGGCCTTCTGGTAGGTGAACCATGGGGAGGAGGTACGGCGCACAGCGTGTGGAGCTGTGAACAGGGCCAACTGATCGGAAGCCGATTAATCGATTATGGAAAAAGTTGACAACTTTTTCAATAATCGATTATAATCGATGATGTCGATTAGTTGTTGCAGCCCTACATAACAGTCTCAACCCCGTCAGGAGCCTTGCGCCCCGGGTGGGTCGGGAAATGTGGCCCCTTCTTTATTGGAGGGCCAAGCACCCTTGTGCACGTTTTTATGTGTGTTGTGATTTCACGATTCACTTCGTTTTTCGAGCACGCTCCACGTGCTTTAAGTAAAAAAAAGAAATTAAAAAAAATTAGGCTCCACACCGTAGCCTGCATTTTATGAATGGGCTTTAGTATGGAATACAACTGCAGGGTGTAGTATAAAGCAGATGAAATAACTCTCCATCAGGGTTCAGATTTGTTTATTTATTACAGGTATTGACATAGAGCTTGCAAGTTACACAGCGCTTTACATACTGCACATTCACGTCAGACCCTGCCCTCAATGAGTTTACAATCTAAGGTCCCTATTGCACACACATACAGGGCCAATTAACCTTAAAGCACATCTTTGGAGTGCGGAAGGAAATGGGAGTACCTGGAGGAAACCCACGCAAGCACAGGGAGACCTTGGAGATAGTGACTTGGCTAGGATTTGAACCAGGGACCCCCCCAGTGCTGCAAGGAGGAAATGCTAACCACTACGCCACTTTGCTGCTGCTTGTTTTCCTCTAGAGCAGTGTTCCCCAACCCCCGGTCCGCGGATCAAATGGTACCGGGCCGCACAGTCTCAGTGCGGTCCGGTCATGCAATATATGGCAGTGCACGGTCCCGGTGTTCGAACACCGGGGCCCCGCACTGCCGACGGGCTTCACAGTGAGGGGGCGGGTCCTGTGACTCACCTCCCCTCCCGGCCGCGTCTATAGTAACAGGCGGCGGGAGGGGAGGTGAGTCACAAGAGACGTGTGTGTGTGTCACACGCCCCGCCCCCTGCAGTGAGTGCACACATCGACACATGGCTGCTGCTCCTGGAAGGGTGAGTCTGAGCGGGGGAAGGGGGGGGTGTCTTACATCATGTCATTAGACGTGGATTATAATGGGGAATATTACACTGTAATGTTGCCTATTATAATCTATTTCTCTGATTAAATGATTACAGGTAGGCATGTGATCTATCAAAGTTTGAGACTACGTTAGAATGTGTGACCAGTGACGTGGTCACAGATTTTAACGTAATCTCGCCCAGTTTTTCGGTGGTGGAATAGGTGAAGAATTCCAACGCTTTCATTTTTTGGTGTAACTGTATTTTATTTTGAAGGCATTTTTAAATACAATTAAATTAAAATGATTAAATAAAAACAATCTAAAATATAAACAATCAACGTCCCCCCCTCAGCGGGCCACGGTAAAATGATCAAACGTTGACCGGTCCGCGGCAATAAAAAGGTTGGGGAGCACTGATCTAGGGTACCATTAGAAAGCAGTTCTACTTACCGTTTCCCTCGCTCGCCAGTGCAACTGACGGAACGGGCCCCTAGATTTGAATACTGCTGCCAATGTCCACAAAACCAGACTGCACACAGCTGTTGTAATGCCTGTGTGAATGAGCCCTAAAACTGCTTTTTGTTGCTGGTACCCTAGATAGAAGCAAGCATTTAACCCTTGAAGTGAGGGGGGGGGTGAAAGGGAAGTTTTGAAAAAAGTCTACAGGGTTGAGCTTTAACAAAGGACACACGCATGTGATCGGTTGTACATGTATGTGTTTTTATGTTTGCAGCTGCTTTTCGGAGACACTCCTGTGTGCCCATTATAGGGACGCTCCACCTCTATTAAAATAACAAATGCACCCACATTGATGAAAGAAAAAATGTGCAGTTAGTAATGTTTTGAACTGGGACCTGCAAAGCAATGCAACCGCGATCATTGGATCAGGGGTGCAATGTACAGTCTCCTGCAGACTGTTCCTCCATCCCCAGGTCTGTATGGAGATACTGACCTTCTGTTAAGGTTTGGGGGGAAGCTATCAATGGACTAGAAGTGCAATGATGTCACTGTGATCCCTTGAGGTCTATGAGTCCCTTTTGCTGTGGTGGCAGATGGGGAGTTCGAGGGTTGGGGGCTGCGGCGGACTGTGACCATGTTACACCCTAAGTATGGATATGTACAATGGTGGAATTGGCCTGAAGTACAACCGCAGCGGTAGTTAGTGATCTGTAACTCATTACCCTTCTTTTTATTTCCTTCTCGCAGGAGTCGGACTGAATTATGGCTTCCCGTGCGGGTCCTCGAGCCACCGGCACAGATGGAAGTGACTTCCAGCATCGAGAGAGGGTGGCTAATCATTACCAGATGAGGTACGATGGTTCTGGCATAGTACAGGTCACAGCTTAGGAGTATGAACCATACTGTGACTTTATTACTATATAATGTGTCACTAAAGTCTTCTTCAGCCATTTTTGTGAAACCTTTGAACTTTTATTTGCTCACTTTTGAGCTGTTAACCCCTTCCTGCAAGCTGTTTGCATATATGTGGCAGAATGGCGGTGGGATTTAATGCTGTGCTGTCACATACAGGTGAAACTCGAATAATTAGAATATCGCGCAAAGTTAATTTATTTCACTAATGCAACTTAAAAGGTGAAACTAATATATGAGATAAACTCATTACATGCAAAGCAAGATAGTTCAAGCCGTGATTTGTCATCATTGTGATGATTATGGCTTACAGCTCATGAAAACCCCAAGAACCCCAAATCCACAACCTCAAAAAAGTAGATTATTACATGCAATCAATAAAACAAGGATTGTACATAGAACAATATCGGACCTCTGAAAAGTACAAGCATGCATATGTACTCAGTACTTGGTTTGGGCCCCTTTTGCAGCACTTACTGCAATTACTTTTGCACGATATTCTAATTATTATATATTACTGTATATGCGATTGTTTCCGCTTTGTGCTGGGAACACACTCAATCGCACGCCCCCAGTATTGTGACCAACTGCTCTCGGTCACTATTTAAAGTCAGGGGTCTCCAGAGTGTTCTCCCGATTACGTGATCACTCCGACAGCCAATTGCATGATCGGTAAACCCAGGAACCACCTCTGGTTTCCTTTATGGGCCAGCTCCCACCAGCAGGAAGGGGTGAACTATACCTTTTGAATGTGTTTTGTTATATCTGTTGGATAACTGCAAAACAAAATACTCGTTGATCCTGCCAGGAGTCCAGTGAACTTGAAACTTCCTGTGCTGTCTGTCTGTACTTCTATACATAGCCCACTTGAAGTGTCTCCAGGGTATAATGGCTCTGCTCTCGACCTCCCTCCCTTGCCCTGGACTCACAAAAAATTCCTCAGGGAGCAGCGCCACATCCTTAGAATGTAAAAGGGAGTGTGTATGTATGTGTCAATGGAGCTCAGTCCATCTTTATTGTCTTGATGATAATGGACTGAGCTCATTCCGTCAAAATGTGGACAATAAAATGCTGATGCTTTGACTTCTCTCTGCTGCAAGACGCATGAGTGCCATGTTATTTCCCTGCAATCATTTTTTCTCAAATGCAATATTTTTAGCCTTTTTGGCTTTGCTTAGGTATAATCCTTGTTTTGGCAAATAGCTAACATTATACTATAGTGAGTTGCAGGTGAAAAAAAAGGCAAAGTGCACTCCTCTCTTCCCCATCCTCTCTTCCCCCTCCTCTCTTCCCCCTCCTCTCTTCCCCCTCCTCTCTTCCCCCTCCTCTCTTCTCCCCTTCTCCCCCTCCTCTCTTCCCCCTTCTCCCCCTCCTCTCTTTCTCCCCTCCTCTCTTCCCCCTAGCTACCTTAGCAGGATAGGTTGCAGGTCCTGTCCCTCTAGCATTCCCCTTCTCTGACTGAAGAGCCCAAGGCGGCCACCTCTTCTGCCTGCCCCTTGATCTGGCCCTGTCATGAACTACCACTCAAGCTTATAAGTTATATGCAATGATTAGATGAGAACACCGACTGCTGAAGCCTTCAAATCACTTTAGGCAACCGTCGTTCTTATTGCTGCCAGGAACAGGTGAGAAGAATGCGTTCAGTGTCGTGCTCACATCCTGTGACCATGATGCGAACCCCCACTTCATCTATGCAGCTTTTAAACTTCATTTTGTACGATGGAGAATGCAAAAGGAGGAGTTGAGGACCGGCTTCCAGGTAATGACAGCGATGGACAATGCCTGTGCAACGTGCGTCTGGAATGTGTAATGGGGTGACAACGCAGGACAGTTTGGAGACCGTTGTTACCCTATAACAGGAAGCATGAACAATGACCTTCATGGCTGGATCACCCGGTGTTCTTTTACTTATTTATTACAAGTATTTATATAACACTGACAATTTTACACAGTGCGCAGTCACATCAGTCCCGGCCATCAAGGAGCTTACAATCTAAGGTCCCTATCTCACATGCAGACAGGGCTGATTTAGACCAGAGCCACTTAACCTTCCAACATGTCTTTGGAGTGTGGGGCGAAACCGGAGTACCTGAAGGAAAGGGGGCAAGCTCAGGGAGAACATGCAAACTCCATGCAGATAGTGTCCTGACGGGGACGCTTTTAATGAAAGCTGAAGTTTGAAATGACTAACATTTTATAGTTCATACACGTTTGTCGGGAATAGATGGACGTCTACCTTAATGACTCTCCTTTTATGACGGTATATTGCCATTTAATAGTTGATCTCATTTAGTAGCCACAAAGCAGTCCTTGTTGTAAACACATTTACTACCACATGGTGGCGCTGCTCTCCTTGTCAGTCGTCCCCATGCAGTTTTTTTTTTTTTTTTAATTAAATCAAGAGCTTTATTTATTTTTTGTTTTCACGGACGGTTTGCATAACTGTATCTGGGGGGCGCACGTCTCGGGGCTTCATACAAGCGATCCGCCGGCTCTATAGCCGGCGGATCGCTTGTATATTAACGGGCATCGCTGCCTCTTTACAAATAGCGGGGATTTGTATACACGCCCAGTTACATCCAAGAAGCTCCCGGCAGGCTGTGTATACACAGCGGCTGGCCGGGAGGTAGTTAAACACGGCCCAGGGTAACACGGAGCAGCTCCTTGCTTTATCCAAACACACCTTTGCGTATGCTCGTGAAATGTTTGAGCGATTTTGGGGAGAAGGCGCTAGCCATGGACAGTTGTTGGCAAGAGAAGCCGTTAAGTGGCAATGGTTTGTGGGTTCCTTTAAAGGAAAATGCCACTTCTGACCCCAATTTCCACACTCCCCCCTCTCACAGCTTCCGTGGTTTTATGACTTGTGCTCATTGGTAGATATCCCGGCAGGGAAGATTCCCCCATCTCGGCTGGGAATGGAGTGTTGTTTCTTGTTCATTTTAAAAAGAAACCACTTATATAAGGCCTCACCTGGGAGAGACCCCCACTTCCTGTTCCTGTTGGAGTGTTGTCACCCAGATAGACAGTGAGGGAAAATGTCTGAGGACAGGAGCAAAAGCTTTTCTCTTTTGTATTAAAAAAAGTGGTTTTTATTTCTGTCTGTGTTCCCCGTGGACATTTTGCTTTACACGTTGTCACGGGGACAGGAAGTGAGGGTAAAACTGACACAGGATCTTACCCCCCACCCCCCTCACTCTACCAAAACAAAACAAAAAAGGCTTTGCCAGGAAATAGACTTTCAGTTTTGGTAAGTTAATAAATGTCATTATTTGATTTGTCGATGTAACAGTTCCATCCGTTGTACAGAGCTGGAAATTCCGGCCACATATGAGAAGCCAAAACGTTCTTCATCTTCTCATCAATCATGAGGAACCATTTTGAGTTGAAGCTAAGAACATTTTGCCTTCCCGGCTCCTCCCCTCCCACCTTTACATGCCAATGATTTTTTTTTTTTTTTAAATAAAACTTTCCCATTTTCATGACATCATTATTTTATACCCAGTGATGTCATCCCTGGCTGGTGGGAGGGGCCAACAGGGTGCTGTACATAGCTTCCTGAATACATCACAGCACCCTGTATCAGTACTCCTCTAAGAGCCTTCAGCCCTGATGCGAGCAGTGGGTTGGCTCTTGGGAGGAGTTATGCAAATATTAAAATGTCTCGAATGGATGTCAGTCTGGAGGAGTGGGTGTTCCTAAGCCGGCTGTATTTGCAGAGGTAGTGCCCATCACTGAGTCTATGTACTTTCCTATGCAATGCAGGCAGAGCGTGGCTGGTGGGAAGGTCCAGTAGGGTACCTTCGTACTCCACTCGAGAGCCGTTGGTACCCCCTCTCAGGAGCCCTCAGCCCTGATGTAAGCAGAAGGAGTTATGCAAATATCACAATGACTTGATGGGTGGATGTCAGTCTAGAGGAGTGGGCATTTGCGTGCAGACCGCCCTAGGTAACGCCCACATGTGATGCTGAGCCTCCATGATTGAAAGAGTAGAAATCCAATGAATGAAAGGAGCGGGGCCAGGGATAGCCAGGTTGGGGAGTGAAGAGCTAGATGATGCTTTACATCCTGGAAGGAATGAGACGAGCTCTATCTGACTTGCTGCAGCTTCTAATGCACATTATGAGAAGCTCGCAGTGTGCAGAGAAATCCATTTCAGTCCAGGAGAGGAGCCGGTACAACTGTGCAAGACTGAAGGGAGGTCAGATACAAGACTGAAGGGGAGGCCGGAGATCAGATACAAGACTATAGGGGAGGTTGGAGGTCAGATACAAGACTGAAGGGGAGGCCGGAGGTCAGATACAAGACTGAAGGGGAGGCCGGAGGTCACATACAAGACTGAAGGGGAGGCCGGAGGTCAGATACAAGACTGAAGGGGAGGTCAGATACAAGACTGAAGGGGAGGCCGGAGGTCACATACAAGACTGAAGGGGAGGCCTGGAGGTCACATACAAGACTATAGGGGAGGCCGGAGGTCAGATACAAGACTGAAGGGGAGGCCGGAGGTCAGATACAAGACTGAAGGGGAGGCCGGAGGTCACATACAAGACTGAAGGGGAGGCCTGGAGGTCACATACAAGACTATAGGGGAGGCCGGAGGTCAGATACAAGACTGAAGGGGAGGCCGGAGGTCTGATACAAGACTATAGGGGAGGTCAGATACAAGACTGAAGGGGAGGACAGAGGTCATATACAAGACTATAGGGGAGGCCGGAGCTCAGATACAAGACTATAGGGGAGGCCGGAGGTCAGATACAAGACTATAGGGGAGGCCGGAGGTCAGATACAAGACTATAGGGGAGGTCAGATACAAGACTGAAGGGGAGGACAGAGGTCAGATACAAGACTATAGGGGAGGCTGGAGCTCAGATACAAGACTGTAGGGGAGGCCGGAGGTCAGATACAAGACTGAAGGGGAGGCTGGAGTTCTCTGACAAATAAAGAGGATGAATGTCCCTAGCAGGGGGTCACTGATGACGATAAAAACCTGGCAGGGGTCCTATTCTTTCAGCACTCCATCCAAAACTTCCAATAAAAGTGTATGACTCAGATCCATTATCATGTCTGTAATCTTTACATCTGTATTTTTATTGCACCTCCTCGGGGGATCATCGCTCACAATCCACAATTCTCGCTTCCCTGGAATTCTCGGGACTTTTTCTAATCCTGTAAAGGACATTTACATATTTAAAGGCAAAGTCCACTTTTTGGAAAGGACAGTGAGGGGGATTTATCAAAACTGTAGCAGGCAGAATCTGGAGCAGCTGTCCACAGTGACCAATCAGCATCCACCTTTCATTTTTAAACCATAACTGAAGAGAGAAGCTGATTGGTTGCCATAGGCAACAGCTCCAGCTTATCTCTGCTCCAGTTTTGATAAATCCCCCTCCCCCCGAGTGTCTTCATAAAAGAAAACATGCGAATGTATTATTATTTTGCAATGGAGTCAGTGACACATTGCGATCAGTGGGTGGCGGGTGCAACGCTCTGACTCCTGCAGATTCTCCCTCCCGTCCATGTTTCTATCTCGGTAGGGACATTCAGTAACATGGGAGGGAGATTGAACGGGCTACAAGAAAAGTGACGTCACTGCATTGTATTACATGGAGAAATCCCTCTGCCGCGGTGGCTGATGGGACTTGCAGTTTCTGTGCATGGATGATGCGGCTGTGTGCAGGGAGAAGAACCCCACAATTCAGGTAAGTGGGGGGCAGAAGGGGGTGGGGGGATTTCGATGTAACCATGTTTCATGTTACACCCTGAATATGGCTGTGACATGAAGCATAGTCAGAAAGGTAAACGTATCCTTTACTCCAACTCCAGCTGTGCTTTAACTACAAATCTCATTATGCCTCTGGGAGTCATGTCTGTAACTATCAGTCTTGCAATGCTTCATTGGGTTTGTAGTTCCACAAAAGCCAGAGTTGCCCACCCCCTCTTTTAGTTGCTGCGTCATGTTGCTCTGGCTCTATATGCAGAGAGGCAAAGAAGTGAACTGCCCTCTTACCTGCCTCTTCTATGGGGGTCATGTGACCTTGTGCTTGTGAAAGCACCCAACCAATCCCAAAGCTCCTTCCGCTTTTTTTAGTCCATGGTTTATACCACATCTGAAAAGAAGAAAATGTGAAACATGCAAAGTGAGGTCAGAGGAAGAACCGGTCACGATTGGGGTTTTGCATATAAAACTTTATTCTGTGCTTTTGCTTACATTTTAAGTTGCTGGTCGGTTGTTTAAAAATAGTCTTTGCAGCAAAACTCACTTTCAGTCCAGAGCTGCTCCAGCCTCCCCCCACCGCGGTACTTGCATCCCTCAACTAGATGTCTTCTGGGTGGTATGACATCCAACATCATTCAGCCCACTCACTCTGAGCCTAGGTTGTCATTAACCTGCCCCCAGCCACTAGACTGTGAAGGAGAAGCAGCACAGTGATGAGCTCATCTCTGTCACTTTGTCTCCTCCTATCAGCATGCTTCTTGTGCTGCTTCTTCCTCTGCCAGTCTGAGCTCTGCTGTACAGGGACTGCAAGAGGCGGATCCCAAGTCACACTGCTTCTATATAATGTTTTATTGAACACAGAACGGCAATGATTTGTGTAGAGTTTAGCTTTTAGTTGCCTGTATGTGTACGATACGTGACCACAGACCTCCCACTCCTGTCATAGTCTCTGACAGCTTGTGTCTCTTCTTTTCAGCGTGTCTCTGAAGAACGAAATCAAGAAGCTGATCTACGCCCACATCCTCATCTGGTTACTGATTGCCGCTCAGATCTGCGTGGCCCACCTGAAGCTGGTGCCGCACAGCCTGGTGGCCATGCCGTACCAGTGGGAGTACCCGTACCTGCTCAGCATCATCCCGTCTCTATGCGGCTTGTTCTCCTTTCCACGGAACAACATCAGCTACCTGGTCCTCTCCATGATCAGCACCGGGCTCTTCTCCATCGCGCCCCTCATCTACGGCAGCATGGAGATGTTCCCCATGGCCCAGCAGCTCTACCGACACGGCAAGGCCTACCGCTTCATCTTTGGCTTCTCCGCCGTGTCCGTCTTGTACTTGGCGATGGTGGTGGCCGTGCAGGTTCACGGCTGGCAGATCTATTACAGCAAGAAGTTGCTGGACTCTTGGTTCACCAGCACCCAGGAGAAGGAGAAGAAGAAGAAGTAGCCAATGAGGGTGCAGGGAAGGGACAGTAGGGAGAGACATGACTCTGCTGAGGTGCATGATGTCACTCGTACATGAACGGTCCACGCTGATGGAAGGAGGCCAAGAAAAAGTTGCGTTCGCTTCTTCCGCAAGCTTGCTCGGAGCGGACTCTTGACGTCCATGAAGGGAATCATTTATCTTTGTGCCACCATCTGTCTGTGAGCTTTGTGTTTCCTTTTAAAAAGAATGTACATGAGAAAATAAATTATCTTCTTCTATGAAACATCAGTGACGACACTTCTGCACAAATGTTACATATTGGCACAATAACGTGGCGTGTTTGTGTTACAGCCCGCAGAGCTTTAACTTTCCTGGAGGAGGCGAGGGCTGCGTGATGCTCTCTCGGCCCCGCCCTCTAGGAGCTTACACTCTAAGGTCCCTATCTCACATCAGTCCCTGCCCTCTAGGAGCTCACAAACTAAGGTCCCTATCTCACATCAGTCCCTGCCCTCTAGGAGCTCACAATCTAAGGTCCCAATCTCACATGCATACATACAAAGGCCAATTTAGAGAGGAGCCAATTAAAGTGTATTAGTGAGCCATGTGCATGGAACCTGACATCTCCCACAATGCCTCTAGTTGGTGAGGTGCCCACCATTATACCTCTGGACATATAGTGTATTTGTGAGCCATGGGCATGGAACCAGACCTCTTCAACAATGTCCTTTGGTTTACTGCAATGAGCGGTGTAGTCTTTTGCAAGGTTTTTGCTGCCCTTAGAAACATATGCAGGCATTGACTATGTGAATACTGTAAGGACAGAACCTCTTACAAAGCACTCACTTCCATTAAGTGTATTGATTAACCATTAGCCATCTCAGTATTTCCAGAACAGGAGCAGGTAAGAATCTTCAGTAGAGATATCTATAGTCCTTGCAATGTACATAGCTGACCAGAAGATTTTTTTTTATGCAGGTAAGAATATGTGACGGTTTAGTAGAGACTAAATCTAAATAAACAAAATAAATCACTACTAGACGGAGCTGGCCCTGATCCAGATTGCTTTTATAGGCTCAAGCCAACCTCGGCGCACAATGCGGGCTGTCTGCAAACATACGTTTTACGCGCTGGCTGTGAAAAAAATAGACTTCCATGCACAGAACTGAGCAACTGACACATGTTGACGTGTATAGTAGACAAGAGCTCTGTGTTTTGTCTGTCCACAGCAGGACTGTTTAGTACTAACGAAAGCCTGGACCAAGGGTGGGCAACCTGGGCACTACAAATCCCATAATGCCTTTGGGAATTACACCTGTGGACGTGCGGGTCTTGCAATGCCTAATGAGACTTGTAGTTCCACGACAGCCGGAGTGCTGATGTTGCCTACCCCTGGCCTAGATACTTTCAGGTCGTGGCTCAGGCTGTGTGGCCCAAAAATCTGAGATATTTAAAAACTTGTATTTTTCAGTCTCCCCTTTGACATCACATTACACCAGGAGGGGCTCAGGAAAAACATGAAAACAAGCCCCGCCCCCTATGGATGAGGATGGGGGCTTGTCCGTGACAACAGCACCCTGTGAGTTGGGTGCTGCCGTCGTGGACATGCCCCCATTCTCCTCCGTAGTGGGCGGGGCTTGTTTTCATGGTTTTTCTGAGCCCCTCCCCTAGACCAGTTCTTGTATAACTGCTTTACAGCCAATAAAAGACCAATTTAAAGCTGATTTAGTGTAGCTGAAGCAGAAACTCTTTTTCTCTTAGCTCTGCCGCTCGCTTTCATGTGTCTGAACCGAAAAACAAAAAATGTCATATATTGCACGTTACCAGTCCTTAGGGGCAGGGCCAGAATAAGAGCATCATGGGCCTGGTGCTGTCGGATAGGAAGCAGCAGAGATGGCCGATCCCTCTTCGCTGGGGCCCCGCGACGCCCCAGCAAGTGGTTGCCTGACTGTGTTCAGCCCGGCTTGCCATTAGACATACCGAGACGACCTGGGCCTATTTTCAGTGCTGGGCCTGCAGCTAGCGCTCCATTAGCCCCTATGTTAATCCGGCCCTGCTTAGATGTGTTTGCTGCATTTGTTTTTTATAGGCTTTTTCTCCTTTATTTTGGCCTGGTGATGCTGCCAGAAACACGCTTCCTGTCCTAGGGCGACAATGCTCGCACAAAGAGGAGAAGCATCACCCTAGGACTACAAAACATCTCTTCCTCATTTCCATAGCACATCAGGGAGGTGTTCTGTGGTTTTCACAGAAGTGAGCTAGGCAGGGCTGATCACATTGCAGAGAGCACCGGAACTTTAGAGCTCACCAGATATTTTTTGCAGGATCGGCATGATGAACCCATCAAAGAGATATAATAAAACGCATTCAATGGTACATCTCACAGGCCCAAAAAGGAGCAAATAAGAGAAATTCATTGTTGGGGTTTACATGAACTTTTTAGTATTAGAACACTGAAGCACATGTAAAAGTAGGTCAGTACGACAATTTATTTCCCCTTTACTGGGGCTGACCCAGATCTGTGAGCGCCGGTTTTAGGGCCAAGATTCCATGTGAGGTTTAAACCCACAAACTTTGCTCCCTACGCAGGTTTTTTTTTAAAATGTGAAATAGTGTAGATGTTATTTTACTAATTTCTGTAGCACAGCCCTTCACAGAGAACATTGACCCATCTACATCTGTCCCTGACCTACAAAGGGGCTTAGAGTCTAACGTCCGGAGCTGTAAACACACCGTAGGGACCACCTTTGGGTGGAAGTCAAGTCACACAATGATTGGTCTTGGAATGTATTACGAAAATGGAGGCGTGCACCATGGAAATGAATAACGATAGCCCAGGGAGGGTGGGATCCATTCAGAAAAGGTTGGATGTTCACCTCCATCCAGGCATCCACCGCCCCCCACCCTCTGCCGGGGCTCTGATGTGAAAGGGGAGATTCTGATACGAAAGGGGGGCTCTGATGTAGAGAGGGGACTCTGATGTAAAGGGGGGACTCTGATGTAGAGACGGGGACTCTGATGTGAAAGTGGAGGGCTCCTCATGTGAAGAGGGCTCCTGATATGAAAGTAAGGGACTTGTAATATGGAGGGGGATTCTGATGTAAAGGGGACTTCTAAAATGAAGGGGGGCTCCTAGTGTAAAAGGGGGAAACTCTGATCTAAAGAGGTATCTCTGATGTTAAAGAATGTGCTCCTGATGTAAAAGGGGGACTCTGATGTGAAGGAGGCTCCTAATGTGAAGGGAAACCTCAATTTTTGGAACCGCACATGGTTTTACATTTTAGACTGGGGTGCCTCAAGAGTTTGAATTACTTTTAATGGGGTTGAGTGAATAAAAAAAAGGTTGCTTAGAGCAGCTTTGTCAACCGTATTACCCCAGAGGAACCTTTTGAAATAGTTTTCAGGTCTCGGACAACCCCTATTAAAACCAATTCATGTAGGGTCACTGTAAAAAATGCCCCTTACATCGTTGGTCAGTGGGAAAAATGCCACCCTTACAGGCAGCTTAGAAGATCATTGGTGCCATGCCGCTGACCCTGCCCAGTGACATTGGCCCTGGAACCATGCAGGCACCGACAATTGGAAGGTCATTCAGCCACAGCTCAAGGAAGACCTAACAACCTCTGGAAGAACACTAGGATTTAGGGATGCACCAATACTGGTATCGATATTGGTATCTCTCTGATCTCCCTCTGACCGGCAGTGCCGCGAGGGAGCATAGAGTCGGCTTCCTAGCCAATCAGGTTATGACCCGCCTCTCGGTTTCCTGATTGGCTAAAAAGCCGGCTTCACTTATTGCTAGGCAGCCTGGCATAATATGGCATAAAAAATTGTTTATTTTTATATACTTTATATTTATAATATTTCTGAAAATATATACATTTTATAATAACTTTAAGTTTCTGGGCTAAAATATTCATATTTTTTAGTGTGCAAAAAAACAAACAACAACCTGTAAAATTGGCTCTGGTAGGGAATGGGTTAATCGACCCGTGGCTTGCTGTTCTTAATAAATCATTTCCACTTGACTACAGATGTTTCAGGTCTTTTGGTCCTCATCAGTACAGGTTATGCATCACATGACGCTTTGAAGTGGGTTTGGGGGGAACCCTACTAGGAAAGCTACTCAACTCATACTGAATTTGTCCAAAAAGTAATAAAAAAAAATCCCTTTGTTATAAAACACTGCAAAACACCTTTTATGTTTATTATTCATTATCAAATAGACTTTTCTGTGGTTATATGTGGGACGCATTGGCTGCCCTTTAAATAACAATTGACGTGCAGAAAGAGTACGCTCGTCCTCACGAAACCGACCTAATCTAAATGGAAATATGTCTGGTTATATATAGAGTCACTTTTCTGGCACCATTACCAATTACCATTATTGTTACTATGATATAGATATATCTTGCATGTCCTCGTAAACATACATTGTACATACAGGAAACCAGAACAAAAAAAACGCCTTGTCTTCATTTTGTACAGAGCGTGCTGAGTCTACGCATATTTTTTCAATTGTCATTTTTTCTCCATTAAAGTGCACCTTTACCCTAGAATTAAATTTTGCAGCTTTGCTATTCCCCACCCCGCCTCAGCAAAAGCTAAGCATGCATAAAAAAAAATTTCTTTACATTTCTCTCTTTTTTTTGTCTGTGGCTCTGCCTCCCACCGCCATTCTCGCCTAGGTGAAAATGACGTTTCATTCCCCTACTGGGATGCCGACGTCACTTATCCCAGGAGGCTGCAGGAAGAGAATCCTTTCCATTCATGTAAATCAGGGGTGGGCAAACTCCGGCCCTCCATCTGTGGTGGAACTACAAATCCCATGAGGCATGGCAAGATTCTCACAGCCACAGACATGACTCCCGGAGACAGATGCATGATGCGTTTGTAGTCTCACCACAGCTGGAGAGAGTTTGCCCACCCCTTATGGAAATAGACCGGGCACCGATTTTGCACATGCACGGACGGAGATCTAGCGCCTTATATTCTGTTCTGTGATGTCACATATCCTAGGAGGCATTGCTTCCCTTCCAATCATAGGGCAGTATATATATACCCCCTCATGTATCACTTGCCCCTCCCTTTTAGATTGTAAGCCCTCAAGGGCAGGCCCCTCCTTACCATCTTGTCTTGAATTGTATTGAAATTGTAATGTCTTCTTTATATTGTAAAGCCCTGCACAAACTGTTGGCGCTATATAAATCCTGTATAATAATAATATAAATGGAACAGGTGCCAGATCTCTGACTGCGCATGTGCAAGATCTGCGTCGGGCCTATT